TTTCAGCCGCTTTTATCGGCATAAATAATTAGGTCTACATAAGTGGGACTGAGATCATCATTAACACCTTCAAACAGGGATGCTGAAGAGCTTTAGCTCTTTTGAAGCTGATCAGTTTCATCATTGTGATGTAGAAGTTCACAACTCTCCCAACGAAGGTCTGTGGATTATTAACACAGTGATACCTCCAGTAATGGTAGCTGGGATCATTGCGACACAGAGTAATAAAATTAACCACTTATATCTGGTGCAACCCTAAATAGTAATTGTCATATTTATGGTGATTCATGGTAACTCATTGAAATATCCTCAACTCTTCTTTTTGTTCCAGCAATCACTGGAAATCAGTGACCTATGCATCTAGGACCTAGCTGAATCTGAATGCAGATACCTAGTAAAAAAAAGTGGTTCACAATTATGTCTATAGACTTTTACTTTTAAAGACAAGTCATCAGCTGCTGGTTGCTATCATCAAAAAGAATCTAAATGAGATGCTGCTACAAATTCAGCACCTAATGATGCAGATCCATGACTTCACACTGGTTTATACCCCTGGAAAGACACTCTTTCCTTCAGACAAGTGTCAGAGTTTGACTGATGAGGATGTTCAGTGTCCACTGCATGGCTGGTTTCAGACAATTCACAGCAAATGTTTGGAGGCAAGAGCAAAAAGCTGCAACATGTCATCAGTCAGAGCATGGTCAACAGATTCGTGTCCAGTTTTATAAAGTCAAAGGTGAACTCATTTTGGATGGAATGTTGTTAAAAGGACAAATTTGTCATTCCACAGACTTTAAGGTTGGACATATTATAGAAGATACACAAAGACCATAATAATAATGATAAGTGCAAACGAAAGAGCAAGAGAATCAGCTTGCAGACCTGGAATTAACAAAGACATCGAAGCACTGACAAATAATGAGACAGAAAAACAAAGCAAAGAGGCGATAGTAATAACTCACATCAAGCTTGTAATTAATGCATTATTAATTTTTCAAAGTTGTATTTTTTAGGCACAGTTTTTCATTCTTGATGATATAAAACATAATCTGGAAGATTCAGATTAGAGGTCTCCTGATACCAGTTTTTCTCAAACCAATTATAAGTACAAGTACTTTCATTAACTCCCATTACACAATGACTTTTAAAACACATTTATTTTATTTAGAACAGAGTGGCTCTCCTTTCTTATAAACCTCTGACTGGATCAAATCAAATATACAACAAGATATGCAACAATTTAAAAGAAATAAAAGTAAGATTTCTTTAAACTTGCAATGTTAACTAAAACATTCAATGAAGTACCAGCATCTGTATCTATACCAGTATCCATACCGAGCCCGAGATTCTGCAATTTTTAAACGAGTACTTCTAAAAATGTTGGTATCAGGACTCCACTAATTCAAGGTTTYGTGTTTTAATTTTGGACACCAGAGACAGAGAACTGAGATAAGATGCAACTTTTTTATTTCTAAATCTGCAACAAACAGTATTTCTGTTTTATCTTTGCTTAGTTGTAAGAAGTTATTGACATTTATAAATTAATATAATTTATACTTGGTCTAAGAGTCCAGGKTCTAAACCTCAGAACCTAAGGAAATGTTCACCTGTATGTCATCTGCATAACCAGTTACTGTTGTGTTTCTGAATGACAAAAGGAAGTATTTAAAAGTTAAATAAAATTGGACCAAGATTTGAACCTTGTGGTACACCACAACCAACTCTGACTTGGTCAACATTAAATCACAGTWTGACACAAAGTATTGTCTCAAATATACGTGGTAGGCCAGTTAAGAACTGAACCAGTGAAACTGATCCAATTTTCTAACAAGCAGGCTATCATGAACATCAGTGTCAAATGTGGCACTGAGATCATGAAATACTGGGACAGATAGATTTTAGATGAGTTTGGATGTCTTCATGTAGAAACAGTTATTTCTGCAAACAGATGTTTTAAAAACTGATGAGTGCTGTAGTGTTTGGTTTTTATGCACAGCTTTTTTTGTGCATTTTTGCCTAAATTTGTCATATAATAGATTTATATGGTGCTGTTTATGACTTGATCTTGTTCTAAATGTAAGAAATTAAGAACCAAGCCAACCTCACTTATTACAGAAATTAGAGGAGGGTATATTTAATTGACTATAACAATAATCCCATTGCTTTAAAAGCTATTACTATTTATTCATTTGTTTTTTTCTCTTTATGCTAGATTAACTACATGTAGCGAGTACAGTAGAAAACAAGGCTGCACAATAATGTGGGGYTCAGGTGTTGATATGCTAGGGACATATTTTTCAACCAAAAAGAGATGCTATAAAGTAACTAATATTTTAGCTATACTTTATGCTGCGTTGTATAAAACAGACCCACTGCCCTCCCCTCTTCCAGACCCCCAGTTAGTCCCTTTCTCTCCATTTCTTTTGTGCTTTGTAGAGTTTTTGCCCTTTTTTTCTCACTGTTTTCCTGGTTTTCTGAAGAGCTGCTGCTGAGAGAGAGAGAGCACCTCAGGCTAAAGAGAGCAGCAAAACAAACTCTGTTTTATGTAACAGCTCTGCTGCTGAATTACACAGCGGATAGGACAAGTCAGCCAGCACAAATGAACTGAAGAGAAAACATGGTTACTACCAAAAATAAATCAATACATGCGACAGCATTTTAAATTTATGTCACAACAATGTTTAGCATCAGAACATTATCTGAAATGTCTGGGAGTAAAAATGGATTTTCACACAGAGTACTGAGGTCTTATAGCTCTACGTTAATCTTTCCTTCAGCAATACATCTATCGTTGAACAATTGAAAAGTGAAAAATATTCTTTGATGTTTGGAACAAAAAGCCGGAGACTGAAAGATGAAGTGCTGGCAAACAGTCCAGACAGCTGCAGCTGATCTTATTATTGTAATGTTTATTATTCTGTTTGTGAAGGCTTGACCCGCAAACCACTTTAGAAATGCATCAAGCTTTCTTTTTCACTTACAGCCCATCTAATCAGAACCTGAATGAGCCTTTCTGCT